GCCACCCACCTTCCTTTTTCCCTCCCTCCATCCCTCCCCACCCACCATTCTTTCTTCCTTCCTTTCTCTCTCCCTCCCTATCCAACCACCCACCCTTTTTTGTCTCTTTCTTTCATTCCTTCTTTCCTTTGTTTCTCTCCCTCCCTTCCTATCAACCCTTCCATCCATCTGTCTACCAACCCACGTACCTACCCATCGACCCACCCACCGATCTAACTATCTCTTTTTATCTGCCCATTCATTTGTCCAGCCACCCACCCTTCAATCCATCCATCTACCTACGAACCCTTTCTTTCCCTCCTCACTTCCCTTCCACTCACCTGTCTGTCTATCTTTTTACCTACCCACCCACCTTTCTTTCTCTTGGAAGAACACAGCTTATCGATACAAACGTTAGAAAGTACTCAGTGGTCATTTCCTCTAATTCCTTCATTTTGTGGATAATATAATCCATCCACTGATGTTATGTAACTCAATTAACACCGCTTTCTCAATCTATAAAAGCAGCAATACTCTGAGTACATTAACAGTAAACCTCCTGACTCTTTGAGAGGCCATTCCCTGATCATATTTATTGTTTACAATAGATTGCTACATAAAATCTCTTCTGCCTCAATGTGTTTAACCCATCTTCTTTGCGTGTAGTATTTAAAAGTCCTGCTTGCTTAGACAGAAACTTTACTGTGGCCCAGACGGAATAACCCAGTCTGAAGTTTCCTCCTGTAAAAACAAGCCAGAGAGTAAAGGAGAGATTGAGAAAGAGGCAGAGATAGAGAAACATACAAACCAGTGGTTTCCAAGATACTGAACGTTAGGCAGCAACATGGGAAACAAAGCAGGTCAGTCCTCTGACCGCTGCTGCCGAGCGCCTGGAGAGGGGCTGTAGACACGGCGGAACGCAGGGGTGAGCCCGACGGGGCAGGGGGCCGCGGCGCCCTCTGCGGTTACACCCACAGTGAGGAAGAGGGGAGCCCACGCTGAGGTGCCTGGAGCTGTTGGGAGGAGACTGCCTGGTATGCAGCAGAGCCCTGATGGCCTGTGCGGGTGTGGAAACAGCCTGAGGCCATTGAAAGAGCCGGCTCAGACGATCAGAGGCAGAAGGACCCTCTGGGGATACTTCTGAACCTGAGTCTTGACGTGCTGTGACGTATTTCTGAAAATATGTTGAGTGTTTACTATGTGCTGTGCGTTTGAGAAAGAGTAAAATAATTCTTGTCCAAGTGTTTGTTTAGGTGTTAGCGATGCAGCAGGGAACAGAACAAAGACCTGTGCCCTCGTGGAGCTTCCGTGATATCATTTACATGTTTGCTTGAGTGGTGTCCTTTTAAAGTTTATTCTGTGCTCTCTTACGGGACCCTGAGTAAGTCACAACTCCCCACCATAATGGCGAGATTCTGTTCATTGCTGCCTGGGCATACATTCTACAGCGTCAGTCCTTAGTAGCTTTCCACGGGTAGGATTTAAGACTTGATATCGTACCACATTTTGGAGCATCAGTTACAGAGGAACAGCATTGCTGTTCAAAAACTTATCTCTGGCTATTTCATTATTCCTTTTGATGAGGCTCCACATCTGACAGAAGATAGTTTCATCTTCTTCTGAGGAAAGCTGAGGGACTGAAATATGGAAATGCCACCAAGTAGGTGCCTGAAGGTGTCAAATACACAGTGAGTACCATCTGCAACCACTTAAAAACATCCTCATTAAGGAATGATAAAATCTCTCCTAAATGTTAATACCTTCCACAGCAAACAGCTCGTGGTAGTTTTTCTACCAAGTACTGGATGGGTAAATATATCAGTGAATGAATGAGGTGAAGGGGTCACAGGTTGTAGAAGTGTGTTTTCCAGTGCAAGCAATGCACGCCCACGTCTTTGGTCCACTGAGAAACAGTAGAATAATTCTTGTCTAAAGGAAGCTCAACTAGTTCCAGCTTATTCCTTACGTTGTCTGTTAGAGAGCTGTCTCCTGCCTTCTGACTAATTATACATGCCAGATACGGAATTTATTCTAACAAACACATTCCCAAACACATTTTGCTAAAGCTGTGATTCTCACAGCAGCATTAAGAGCCAAAAAAATAAAATGCAAGTCTATGGCCTTTTGTGAGAAAAATGACCTGGAACTTGAGGAGAAGATTACTGGGTATCCCCTGAGTGAGGGGCTTGTACTTTTGACCGACTTTATAGGGCTGGACTGTTTTACAACTTCATTGGAGCAGAAGTTAATTTGAAGATTTTTGTCTGGTAGAGATGCAAATATTTTTTATTTTGGTATAACAGCCAAACCCCCAAATTATGGTGTATTGTAACCTGTTTTCTATCCAACTTATTTTAACATTCCTCTACGAATCTGCCTATAAATACCTCGTTTCTCAAATGCTCTTTAGACCAGTTTTGCCATCTTGTTCTCATTAATGTAATGAATTCAATACAATCTTGGACATATGCTCATATAATATTTGTATGAAAATCATGTTTTTCAATCTTTTGAAAAATTTTTAAACAATAGAAATTTTTAAACAATAGATCTTTTTACTTACTACCCTTTTTTATCTTAGTAGGTCCTGCAATTCTCTTTTAAGGGGCTCGAAAGCCCCCTTTTCCAAGGGGCTTTTTTAAGGATGGCATCATTGAATGAACTCTACCACAAGCCTAGTTCTCTCTCTCTCAATACTGCATAACCTGAGTAACGCCTCCTCATCCGTACATGGTGAGGTTGTACTGGATGGTGTCTCAGTGTGAATTCTAAAGAGTGAGTACTAAATAGATACAATATGAGACTTATTTCCTACTTAAATTTTAGAACATTATTTTCCGAGCATAAACATGATTATTCACTAGATATTAAAGGCTTCACTTAGCACATACACTGAAACTGGAGCAATTCAAAATACATTAGCATGAGCTTCCCCCCAAATAATTTTATGAGTCAGTCCATATTTTTATGCCGCCTTCTCTATGTAGTTTACCCTGATTGCTCCAGCTTGAAGGAGTATCTCCCTCCTTGAAAACTACAACTGCAATGACGTGTGGGTCTGTGTGTGTGTTTACCCCCGTCTTCTCAATTACAGGTAGGAAGCAGTAGGGCCCCATGGCTCCACCTAGCCTGCACGTCTCAGGGAAAGGAACTTGGGGTCTACTACTGTCTCTCTGTGTATAAATTAACAAGCACTGGGAGGAGGAGGCCTTGGTTCTCAGTGGCCAGGAGAGATGGAGAGACTATACAAGATGGCACGTTTCAGAGGGAGACGTATCAGTATTTGCTAACCCGGCACCTACCCACTTCAGTCCTGACCCGTCTGTTTTTCCTTTCTCCTGGGGAAGACGTGGTCCCTAGTAGCTCCTGGAAAAGCGTTATGGGAGGATGCAGTTATATCCAGTACTTGGGAAAGAAGTGAATGGACTTGGTTGGGGGGGTAAGTGAATCAGAACTGATGTGGCCCCTCACCAGCCACAGGAAAGCTGATCAGGTCTACAGATCTTTCTTAACTGGATTATAGTTCGAGAGCACTGAGGCTGAGGTACAAACATTATTGGGGGGAGAGGTGAGTATAGAGAGGATACTGAACACACTAAGCCCAGTTCTCCCAAATGCTGAAAACAGTAACCAGAATTGATGAAGCATCTGCCACTTACTAGGAGCTTTACTTTCACAGCTGGCAAGGAAGGTGTGACTTCCATCGTGTGGATAAGTGAACTGACCTTTAGCAGGGTGACTGTCCAGGCCGAGGTCACGCAGAGTGGAGCCACGACGCAGGCGCGGGTCCGTCTCCGCTCCCCTCCTTTCCCTCTGGGTTTCTGCAGCGAAAACAGGAAAAGGAAGTGGAGTCTTTCCAGTTGCCTCAAACATTTTGTTGAGAATGAGTGGTTAATTAGCCAAAACTAACTCATTAGTGACAAGAGAAATACTGAAGTCAGCTGACTAATACTTAAGTCCATAAACACAGGCATCTCGGGCTATTTCCAGGGCTGACTTAATACTTCATATGCATGGCCACTGGTGAACTTCCTTGGCTTAAAGTGCTGCAGAGTTGATTGTCAACGATTCTTTTCATACTAGTAGCTAACAGTTATCGAATTTTGCCCTGGGCCAGAGGCTGTGTTCAGCACTTATGTGGGTTATCTCATTTAATGCTCACAAAACATTTGTGTGTTGGGTAGTATTACTGTCCCCACATTGTTTATTGTGTAAAGTAACTTGTCTAAGACTTTGCAGATAAAACTATTGATTCACAGCACCACTGGGTTGAATTATATACACTTGGCATTTTCAAACATTAAGATGGTGTTCTCACTTGAAGTCTCATTTATAAAACAAATACGATGAAACCAACATTCTATGAGCAAGATTAGAACATAACGAATAATAGTTCAAAACTTTTCTGCTTAGAAGGCTGCTTTTGGTGAAATCAAAAGCAAGTGATAGAAAATCCTAGATATTTAAGTTAAAGCATTTTTACATAAAACCGAATCATGGATAGCACAATCATATTATACTTACAAACACTGTACAGGTGCTGGTCAGTGACATTCTCAGCATGATTGGGCCATTTTTATAGTTTCCCATCAGGAACAATGATTGTATCCATGGCAACAGGTACTACGAATGTATTGCACTGTTATTAACTCTCTGGGCTTAAAGATTTCATTCATCCAGGTTAAAAAAAAGTCATCTTCTTACTTAGACAAATAAACAAACATACGCCTCTGTGTCACTGCGACAGTGGTTTGGTACCCTAAGGTTGTTTTGGGTTTTATATATAAAGTATATATGTGTAAATAAACACAAATATAAGTACTATATATATAAAGTATTTTACGGTTTTTGAGTAAAAGTGTTTTTCCAACATTCACCTCATCCTACCTCAAATTTTGTCTGGTTAATTTCAGATATGCATGATTGTGTCTGACTTAAAATATGAATGTGGACTCAATTTCTGACGTCAATTATTTTCACTGGTTCTTGTGTAGGTTAAAAGTACACCACAGAACTGTAATTTAAGTGCTACTGCCAGTTAGCCTTAGCACTCACTCATAAGCCCCAAATTAGAGTATTTTCTTCCATTTTAATAGTCTTGTTTTGAAAACTGGATTTCTCAAATGGTTTCATTTAGTTCCTGAAAATGTGGTACATCGCGATGCCGGTAATACACACTGGTAATACTCCTTTCTGCTTTTTGGATGCTGTCCACTTCTGAGCATCAGGGGGAGGTAAGGCCGCCGGGGCCCTGGCACAGGCCGCGCTCCTCTGGCTCCCCCGCCCCCTCCTGGAGAAGAATCTCACCAGCGGTATTTTCCTTGATAAGCCTATGAGTCCAGAAAGCCCTGTATCACAGTGCTAACCGCCTGTCTTACCTACCCCTGGCCATTCTTTTTCCTTTCTGCAGGTCTGGATGGGGAGCAGGGAGGCGGGGGAGAGAAAGGGAAGCCTGTCTTTACACCTGGGGGCTTCACTTCCCTGTGCCAGTACAGAGCGGCATTTAAAGCTTCTGCCTGCACAGCCCCTGCGGTGCAGCTTCACAGCTAGCTTCCTTCCCCTTAGGTATGTGTTTCAGTGCCTTGTGATGCGAAGTTACTTAATTTGGTTTTGATTTTTTTTTTTTTAGATGAGAATTTCAGAGAAAGCAATGAAGAGAGGGAGGCAGGGAGGGAAAGTTTTCCCTACCCTCAGCAGCCAGAGTACGAAGTGAAGACCGTGGAGCGAGCAGGAGCCTTTACTGCGCTCACCTGACCTCAGCCCAGACCAGGGGATGGAGGGTTCTGTGGCTGGGCAGAGGCAGGACAGCCCTGGAAAGGGCGTGGCCCTGAGTCAGCCCCCCAGGTTACCTTGCAGGCGCCCTGGGAGCGGGTGGGAAGCTGGGGCCAGCCCTGGAGAGGACATGCTCCACCGGGCAAAGGCCTCCTTTGATTCCTCTTCCATTTGATGGGGGCTGTGATTATCCTGTTTTTAAATACAGGTGATGAGTGTAAAAATTGTGAGTTAGAAAACAGCTGCATTAGTTAATGAACTCCAGGCTAACTAAAAAACGAGCAAAACTGGAGGCTGAAATAAAACTCGGGGTGATAAGGATCGAGACACAAAGGCGAGGGAGTGGAGGGGCAGGGGCACCCTCGGGCAGCAGGGACTGCTGGGGGGCGGGGGCGTTTGCGTGAGAGGCTGACAAGTGGGGCGGGGAGTCCGGGTCCTCGCTCACAGTCCGCAAGTCAGACTCCACCCACCCTCCAAGCACCCTGAGGACCAGGGCAGTGTGGCCCTTGCACGGCCAGTTAGATGCCCATTCCCTGAGCTTTAAGAGATCCTGACTCTGAGCACTTTGCAGCATTCTAGGAAGCCTTCCTAGACTCTTGCTCAGCTCAACATCCTCATCTGAACACAAACCTGGTGAGTTACACCTACTGTCCACATGTAATGAGGCTCCAGAGAAGCTCAGCCCCGGCCAGGATGCATAGGAGTCCAAGGTGGACACTTCACCCGCCCTCTGCAGCCTCTCGGCAATGCTGTGGTGCTTCCAAAGGGGGGGGGTGGGAACTCTTGGATGCAGCGTTACCTGGAAAATGAATCAATTTTCCTTGAAAAAGGCCTTCCGTGAACATCTCTCTTCACCTTATCCTATTTAAAACACACGTGTGAGTAATTTCAAACTGCCCAACCCCCTGCAGACATTCCTTTCTTCCCTGTTTGATGTGACTGTGCACAGACTACAGAATTAAACTGCAAGTTGAATCCATGCCAGATAGAAGTTAGATAAAATATTTGCATAAATATCCTATAGGCTGTCTTGAGATAGTGATTTTTATATTGAAAGCTGTCACTGTGTATGTGTACATGTGTGAGTGAGGAAGCTGCACACTTCACTGATATTTAAAGAAAAATCTGAACTAGGAAATGTGTCCATAGTGTTCAAATGACCACCCCTGTTGTACATGTAAAATTATAATTTTATTTATCAATTGTACCGCAATAAAGCTGAAAAATATGGTAACATGAAACAGTGATATATACTATGAGGAAAATGGGTGTTAGCAAAATAAAAAAGAACAGCCAAGAAATGCTAAAGACTTAAACTTTATACTAGGCTGTTATTGGTCTGTTAATTTTAGTGATAGATTGTGAGTGCACCAGAGTCCAGAATGAAATGTCTTTATTTGGTGCCCCCTCTTCATCTACCTTCAACCCCAGCACATGACTGACAAAATGGCCACAATAAATGCTTAATGAGTAAGTGATTTATGTAGACTAAGTGGTTTGGATTCATCAGTCTAAAGTACAGATAGGCTCTGTCTGACCTCTGCTACCTAATTTTAAATACCTGCTCAGAGATGAAGGGTGGCCATCAGGTAGGAGAGGAACGCAAATACTATTAGCCAGGAAAGACTTAAACATAAGACAAGACACTATACACCTCCTAGAAGAAAACATAGGCAAAACATTTTCTGACATAAATCTTAGCAGTGTTCTCCTACAGCAGTCAGTCTACTCAGGCAACAGAAATAAAAGCAAAAATAAACAAATGGAACCTAATTAAACTTACAAGCTTTTGCACAGCAAAAGAAACCATAAGCAAAACAAAACAACCACCTACAGAATGGGAGAAAATATTTGCAAATGATGCAACTGACAAGGGCTTAATTTCCAGAATATATAAACAGCTCATACAACTTAAGAAAAAAACAACCCAATCCAAAAATGGGCAGAAGAACTAAACAAGCAATTCTCCATATAAATTCCCAATAGGCACCTGAAAAAATGCTCAATATCACTAATTACCCAAGAAATACAAATCAAAACTACAATGAGATTATCACCCCACACCAGTCAGAATGGCCATCATTCAAAAGCCCATGAACGACAAATGCTGAAGAGACTGTGGAGAAAAGGGAACCCTCCTACGCTGTTGGTGGGAATGTAGTTTGGTACAGCCACTGTGGAAAACAGTGTGAAGATGCCTCAAAAAGCCAAAACTAGGTTTACCACATGAGCCAGCAATCCCACTCGTGGACATATATCTGGAGGGAACTCTAATTCGAAAAGATACGTGCACCTCAATGTTCATAGTAGCACTATTTACAATAGCCAAGACATGGAAGCAACCTAAATGTCCATCAACAGATGACTGGATAAAGAAGAGGTGATATATTTATACAATGGAATGCTACTCACCCGTGAAAATAAAGCCACTTGCAGCAACATGGAGGGACCTAGAGATCATCATTCTAGGTGAAGTAAGCCAGAAAGAGAAAGAAAGGTACCATATGATATCACTTGTATGTCAAATCTAAAAAAGGAAAAAAGACACTAATGAACTCATCTACAAAACAGAAACAGACTCACAGACATAGTAAACAAACTTATGATTACCGGGGGGAAATGGGCAGGAAAGGGATAAATTGGGAGTTTGAGATTTGCAAATACAAACAACTATATATAAAATATATAAAAACAAATTTCTACTGTATAGCACAGGGAACTATATTCAAAACCTTGTTGTAACCTCTAAGGAAAAAGAATATGAAAACAAACGTATGTATATGTATGACTGAAACATTACATGGTACACCAGAAATTGACACATTGTAACAGACTATACTTCAATTTTTAAAAAACCCATAAATATCACTAGCCAGAGTTTTGTCAATATAGTTAAGGATGCCTATGAAGTACTGAAGTTCTGGGACATCTGAAATGTCAGCAGACATAGACGAGCACTCAGAGGTAAATACGTATGTCTGCAGGAGGTAACAGAACAAGAAGTCTTTATGTCATTAAGTATTTAAACTAGTCTGAGCAGTAAGGTTAACGCTAGGAGGAAGACTTTAGTCAAGGTCAGTATGGAGAAAAATGGTCAATAGCATTTTTACCTATTTTGAACTAAACATGAATAAAAGCAGAAATACAATTTTTACTTGGAGTATTTTTTCTAAAGCTAAAAAATAGTCAGTGGGGGCAAACCCACAAGCTATTGTTCTTTTTACAATGCCTGGGATTTCGAAGTGACCAGTGCACGGGGAGCAGGCAAACACAGTGTTCCTTAGCTGCAGATGTGTGGACCTTGATGGTCTAAAAGGGCACGGACATCCCTTGACCCGTGGCCCCACACAGTGGTCCATTTATCCAACACTTGTTTGCAACTACAGAGAGAGTACTGGGCTTCTCTTCTGTGCAAGTGGCAATTTCTTTATCTGAGTGCAGGTGGTGTGAGGTGCTTAAGATGGAGAAATGCCTCACTATGATTTTTACAAATGCAAAAAGCAGGACAAGAAGGGAACTCCCATTTCTTGTCACCAATCCCATCGCAGAGGGCAGGAGGGTTACAGCCAGCTCCTGAGAGTCTGGCAGTTTGGAGGTGGCTACTGGTAGGAAGAAAGGGATAAATAAGGTGACTGTTGTCATTCCTATCTTGCAGAAAAATTTTCAGCCAAATGAAAAGAATAGTAATTTGGTCAATTCCTGCCAAATGCAGTAGGCATCTTGCAACAATGAGATAAAGCAGTGCATTCATGGATACCTTGGTTCTGTCGCTGCCGTGAGGCCGGGTACTCAGCTCCACATCTCCAAGACGTTGGGAGGGCGGAGGCATCTGAGGTGGGTGCTAGGTGTTCGGCTGCAGAGGACAATCGGACCGTCTAACGTGCTACCATTACTGGTCTGGTCCATGGACAAGCAGCACAGTTGTTAACCGAGTGCATGTCAGACACGCAGCAATCTCATCCCCTGCCCCCGCCCCCCACAGGCCGGAAAGAATTACATCTGCATTTTAACAAACGTAACGCCCACTGGATTTGCCTGTACACTAAAGTTCGAGATGCAGTAGTTCACAGCATTCAAAGAACTAGCCGAGCGCACACCTGGTCCTAGAGAGCGTTACCCTGTAGAGAGGAGAGCCAGCAGGCAGAACACAGCGAGGGAAGGGGTGTAATGGTGATTCTGTGAGTCAGGCAGCCATTCTCGTCCACTGGCACGCTGCCCGGTGCCGGCAGGCCTCCCGCACCCTAAGGCCTGAGGGGTCAGGGCTGGGAAGGGTGAGGCTGAGAATCCAGCCTTATTTTCTCAGGAGGTGGTTACATTCTTGGTGGAAGGACTAGGCTCTCAGGAAGGCTGGACGGCAAGTCCGGGTTCCACTTCTAAGCAGGGATTCAGGATGCTGCTTAGAGGACATGCAGTCTGCCTGCAAACCTGTGGGATTAAATACTGAGTTTGAGAGGACTTTGAATTTGAGAATCTTGATACTCAGGGTCAGTTCAAATACCTGCAAGAGCACATCTGCCCTACCTGACCGGTCGCAGCAACTCCAACGCCCACGAGTCTTCAAAGGGTGTCTTCGCTGAACCTCCGGACACACTGCTTTCTCTGGTTAGGGTTGCCTCTCCAACCTGAAGGCAGGGCTCACCGATCTGTAGGGAAAAAAGGAGGGCAGGACATAATGAAGTTGCAGGTTTCCATAAGGTAAGCATCACCATGTGTTCAGAACCATTTCCTTCATCATTAGTACTTATTTTAACTATGAGAATTAGTGAAACAAAGTTTTAGAAAAGTATTGTGGGAACAATTTGCTAATGATTGCTGGAAACTCAGAGAGCAAGGATGGTACCCTTAAAAGTCCATCGTTGTTCATTCTGGGCACACAACAGAAACTCCAAAGGAGCTTTTTTAAAGTGGTAGAGTCAGAGTCCCACCCCCAGACGGAAGTACGAGGTCCAGGCAGAGTGAACAGCTGCTGCGTTATGAGATCCTTGGTTCTCTGGGGCAGAGTAGCTGAGTGTAGAAAACATTTTTTTTAAAGTATCTATCACTTGAATTTCTTTAAAAAAACTCCTGATCATGCAAACCAATGTTAATACATTGTGGGGTTTATGGCAGAGCTAGAAGTGAAACATAAAAATAAGGGCACAAAGGAAGGGAGAGAGTGAAAAGAATTACATTGTTGTGAAGTCGCTACTTTGCTCAACTAATACTATTTGCAGATAAGCTATAGAGATACATGTCGTAATCTCTGTGACAACCACCAAAAAATAACAGAGTGGTGTAGCTAAAAGTTCAGTAGAGTAAAAGAAAATGGGAAAAGAGAAACAAACAAGCAAAACCAATGAGAAATGAGATATATAAGTAGTTACATTAAATATTAATGGATTAAATGCTTCAGTTTAAGGGCAGAGTTTTCAGACTAGCTATAAAACAACATTCAACTATACACTGTTTAAAATAAAAACACTTTAAATATAAGGCACTGACAAACTGAAAATAAAAGGGCAGGAGAGGATCTTCCTTGTAAGCACTATGGATAAGAAATTAGTGTGATATATTAGTGTATTACAGACAATAAAGAAATACAGGGATTCCTCATGGTAGAGAGGTCACATCATCAAGAAGATGTAACAATCATAAATGTTTTCCCATTAAAAACAGAGCTTCAAAATACATCAAAACAAACACTGGCAGGACTGAAAGAGGACACACAAAAACCACAGTGATGGTTGGGGTCTTGAACAACTCTAAGTGACAGAACGGGGAACCACACAGTCAGTGAGTACATACAAGACTGGAACAGCACATCAGCCAGCTTCCCATAATTGCCATGTACAAGGCACTAAACTCAAGAGCTACAGAACACCCAGTCTTCTTGGGTAAAATAGTCCAGTTAGACCACACGCAGGCCCTAAAACAAGTCTCAGCAAAATTTAAAGCACCAAAAACCTTTACAAATCATGTGAAGCTGAACCAAATTTTATTCTTACTTCTTAAAGACTTGTGTTGTATCTATTTAAAAAATAAAGATTTGAGCGTAAGTGTCTATAAAAGCAGAACAGACATCATGTATCGGTTCTGGAGGGAGAAGACACCGCTAGATGTTTGAGATAAAACGATTGCCACAACTGCATCTTGAGCTAATATTCCTAAGCCTGAACATGAAAAGAACGATGTAACTAATTTTTGTTATGTAACTGTTTCTACAATAAAAAAAAATACACAACTTGATTTGCAGAACAATTTGGGGGGGCTTAATTATAAAAATGTTTATTACATAGTAATTCGTAAAACACAGGAAACGCATTTTCAAGCAGTTTAGAAGATTCTACAATCCTAAACTCTACCAATTATAAAGTGGGAGGAAAATAATGTCATTAAACTGCCGATTTCTTTATGTTAACTTAATAGTCGAAATTAAGTATACACTTCAAGCCTATTGCTTAAGACAAGGTCTTCACAGGAAAGCTGTATTTCGGGATTGTGTGTGGGAGTGTGTGTGTGTTTTCAGCTGAGTTCCCACACCCTGAGGAGTGTTACCTCTCCTGTAGGTTTAGACCCCTCATTTATCTGACCTTGAAGACGTCCATCGTGGTTTCCTTACGTTTATAATAAGCACTTTTAGTTCATTCCCCTACGAGAAGGCATGTGGTCAGGGAAGTAGGCAGTCCCCTGAGTCAGAGCCCACAGATAGGTCAGGTGTCAACGCTGCCATCCAGTCTGTGAGACGTCAGCAAGTCTGGACAGTTTTGCCAGAGGGGAAAAAAATGTCTGTATTTGGTAGGATGATATTAAGAGTTAAATAACATAGATGTATACAGAAAAGCACTTTAAGTCAAAATATATGACTATCATAAAGTATATAACCGGAAACAGTGAAATAAAAATCAAATCTAATAACCAAGATTAAGAGAATTGTACACCCATACAACTGCACAGTATGTAACCAGCAAAAACCATGCATTTGGAAAACAGACAATGATAATGGGAAATGCCAATAATAAATAAAAATAAAATTTTACTTTGTAACGGCCGTATCTATGGCGTCCAGGTGTCACAAACGTCCCTGGCGCGCACAGTGGAGTAAGTTATTCCAATTAGTTTACATTAAAATTAGCACATTGACTTTTCTGTCCCAGGGACACCAGCTTATGTGGAATCCTCAGGCACCTCTGGAGGACCCCCGGGGGCCTCACACGTGCTCACAGCCTGTCCGTTCAGCCTGTCAGTGAAGGTAACAGCCATGCTGTCCAGCGTTCCTGCGCAGATTCTCCTGGATGCTGACCCTGCCTGAGAAACTCCCTACAGCCACACAGCCTCACAGGGGGCTTGTCTCCAGACCCTCCAGAAGAGGGCAGCCTTGAGTCAGCAGAGCGGCTCGAGGTTCCAGCTGGAAGTGGGTGGAGTCAAGTCCGCGCTCGTGGGCATCTGGCCCCAGGGGAGCACTGACTCCCGGAACAGTCCCTCCAGCTTTTCGCCTCACGAGCTCCCCTCGCTGGGGCGCAAAACGCACTCAAATAGCCAGAAGGAGCACAGATGCCACTTTCCTCGAGCCATACACATCTTCACTGAATGCCATGCACCAAAAACACACAGACAAAGCCCTTGTCCCGTCTAATTCCACCTCTGCAGAAAACTTTAAAGCCCTCACGTTCACCAGCTTTGCAAGAAGACAGAAGGCCATTCCGCAACGCCCTCGCCCTTCCAGATGGATTACAGCCGATCACTTCTCCTAGCGCACACTCGTGTCTGCTATGCTAGTCCTGGGCTGAGACAGTTTCTTCTTTGCTAGGATCTTATTTTCTGACTTCTCTAGAAGGAAAAATCAAATTTAATTCTATGATAACATTCCAGGAGAAAAGGGGAGTGAATTCAGAGAAAAGAGAGAAAAGTCTAGTTGATTTAATTTTTTACTACCATAGTTTTCTGCTTATTGTTGGAAATCTATATACACAATCAATATGTTTACTTGTTTGTTTAAAAAAAAAAGCCAAGGACATTTCAATCCCTAAAGTTTGGCCTTGTAACTTAAATACAAATAGAGGTGCATACCTGTATTTCTATTTATACCTCTGGGGCAGCTATGTTTTGTTTTATTTTGTTTTGAATACCATAATACAGAGTAATTCCTCACTCCTCGTGGATTTGTTTTGTAAAATGATTCACCTGAGAAGATTCCAATTCCATGGGAGCATAACCAAACAAAATCATTCTTCATTCTAGTTTAGCAATGGGGCTCTGAATTAAATTTGCTCTAAAGGTCATTTGGTTTCAGAAGTCACTAAAAATAAATAAATAAATTGTACATTTTCCTTTGCTATTTTAAATGTTGCAACTGACTCTGAAATACATACTTTCTTTTGGGACTGCATGTTCATAAATAGCAGGTTTGAAAAGCCTCAGAGTCAGAATCCATAATGCACTGGCTCACACAAAGGAAGAAAATTTAAAGTCAGAATGAAAAGGAAGTGAGAGCGTTTGAAGACAGGGTGGAGAAGTTAATAGCTATGGTCTGCAAAATTCTGCACAACCTCTTCCTAACACTTAGAAGACACCTACTCACCACAACACACACACACACACACACTTTACATTTGCCTTCAGACACCTCTGCTCTTTACCCTAAATAGAATAATCTTTAGATCCATGCAATGGCCCTGTCTTAACTTTAACACTTACTGGGAGATGTCACAAAAAAGTCAAAGGACATGAATGTAGGGTGGCCCAAGAAATCTTCTGTATTTAAAAGAGCCAATAATTCGGGGGGATGACGTTGCTTTCCAGAAACTCACCTCCTATTCTCAACTGTTCTGTCTCTTTGGCCACATTAGTTGTGTCTTTAAGGCTTTGCCGATCAATTATGCTCTTCAATTAAAAAAGAATCAGAAAAGTTGAATGGTACTTATCAGTGTGGGAAAGGTTAAAAGGGAATTTTGAGGGCAACTCCTTTATTAGTGTAGCATGTGAATTTGAGAAAAGTACCACTAGCACGAGGGAGACCGTTCAGAATGTGAAGTGCGTTAGCTCCAGAGTCACCCTAGGGAAGCTGCCTCCTGCTTCTGCTTCTCCAGTTGTCTGTGTCCTCTGGCAGTTTTCTTAGTTTCTGTCAGCATTAATTTCCTCATCTATAAAGTAGAGATAAAGACGGTACCTACCTCTCGGGTAGGGTACAGTAAAGATGGAACAAAAGAACGCACGTAAAGTACCCAACACACAGTACATACACTAGGAGTGTTTACCGTTATTAAAGTACGTTATAAAGTTTAATATTTAGACCATATAAAATGGCTTTTATCCTGATAGAAGGTAAACATTCATTTTATAAGTGGGGGTTGGTAATGTGTGGATATTTTTAATATATCAGAGTTTAATAAGGAAGAATGATAAAAAACAAAAAATTTTATTAACAATCATTGAAAATTGTCTTCCAGTATTTCTGCAATTGAAGTGTTTCCTTGTTTAAGTTTTCAGTGAAACAGTGACTTTTTTCCCCTAAACAGATAAAACTTCTACAATATTAAAAAGCCTGTCATAACTGTTTTCATTATTCACGATTTAATCTACAATTTACTGTGGGCTTCCTTTCTAAGAGGTTTATACATGACTCCTTCCCTCACTTAAAATGCTATCAGTTACATCACATGCAATACGTCTAAACTGTTTTTCAGAGGCAACTCGAACACCAAAATGTTGCTCAACTTTTCAAAACTGAACACTGCTTACTTCACAGTTCTACACAGAAAGGCAGCGTCACCTAGCGCGCCCGCGTCAGCCGTCCACACGACTTGGCTACACAGTTTGGAAGATGTGTTCTCTTCTCATCACCCGGGCAAGACAATTAACAGTACATGATGAGTTTTCAAATAAATGTTGGGATTGAAGTAAAATGACAGCCGTTTAAAGCCTCATTTGACTCTTCATCACTTAACGTATGATTTAAAATGTTGATTGAATGAGACCAGGTATTTCCCCACCTGGCTGAGTTGCCGCTGTGTGTGGTTCACTTAAACAGAGCTTTTACCAAATGTCAGAAACCATTTTGCATATTAATTAAAATACAAGTGGCTCATTTGAAGACAATGTCAGTACAGTCCCCAGAATGGATAATTAATGACTCTTTACAACCAGGGTGTCTGCCACTTAGCAATAACACTAAGAGTCATTCATCTACCTGCCTCATTGTACTGACTCCACAGACAGTTCTAATACGACATTCAGATTAAGTTCAGAAAAATGATGTTAATATTAGCAGAGCTTATCACTTCCTCCTTATTGTGTTAAGAAGCAAGTGGTAAAGAAAGCTAATGTGTAAAGAAAACAGGAAAGGGCTAAAGAGATGTTCGTTAGCATGTTTCTTGTCCCGTGATGTTATTCCTATTATTCCATTTTTAAAATCCTGCTAAGAGGAAGTAATGGTTCGCTGCAGCTTTTCTATTTCCATCCAATTGACTGAATAGACTCACTGGATGTGCTCTGTTGACCAAGTCAGCTCAAGTCACAAATCTCATTCTTTACCAAATCAGTCATCACATCCACTGTTTCCTTCGTGCTGCCTGTGAAACCTCCTAGCAGCCCCACCACCACCCCCCTAGATTTATTAACTCCAACCCAGCCCTTTGTGCAGCTCTACACTAATTTGTCTTATAGACCTAGAGTCACTTTCATTCATCATCCATCCGGTTTTCAGCAGCTCTCACCAGCTCTCTATCATCTGAAGGTGTTCAGTAGCACCTATGAACTGATGTCTGCAAACTACTCGCCAGTCTCTGCCCCTCCATCATATGCCAGACCATCCTTCCGGTGCTCTCTCACTCCCGTTTCTGCCCTAACTGGATTGTCCTCACAGATCTAGCAGCTTAACTCTTATCCAGCCCTTAAAGGTCAGGTTACATTCCATGCCTTCAGTGGGGTACCTCCTGACCACAGTAACCCAACATCATTGGCGCTGATTATCTTCTCTACCATCACAGAGCACCTGGTCTTATAACCTTACAACACCCACACCTCAGTTCTCTAAGTAGATTCAGGATGTACTGAGGGCAGGTATTTCTTCTGTCACTCTGCTGAGTAACCAAAATAAACATCAAGAGACTAACGGATAACTGTGCAGTATTACTGTCATTTTTCACTATTTATTAGCTTTTTTTTTTTGCCTCAAAATCCCTTAATAATTTCCACAGCAGCAGGAACACTGTTGAAAAACACAGACTCTAAAAAGAAAGGTTCAAAAAAAAGGAAAGTAAAGAGTCTTTCATCACAGGAGATAATTAAAAAGCTGACATGAATAAATTCTTGTCAGATTTCCTGCATTGGTGTTTATAGACTAGCTCTCAAAGTTCATTTTTAGATAAAGAAACTAATCTAAAGGAACTAGAAGATGGGAAGACCTTTTCTCTCTCAGAAAGGTCTTAACAGCAGCCTTGACGATCAGGAATTTAAAGCGAGGTCAGTGAAAACACACCATCAGCATACCTTGATATGAAGTCCAGAGTAAAGATGACTGGGTTTTTCTTATCCCTTCTTTCTGCAGATTCCTTTTTTCTAATTTCTTAGATCCGGAAGAAACACTCTAATGAACAATACAAAGAAAAATCCCTCTTAATGTGGAGGGGGATTACAAAGATACTATTGAAAAAAATCACATAGGGAAATTGGACGTAGGTCAATGTTCCCTTTAAATCTTAGCCTCCGGGTGTCTTTAGACATACAACTGTGGAAACCTAAATACTGACAAAGGCATAGAAATCAACAATCTCAAATACAGCTCTGCTCTAAGCTCTGTAAGGTCAGAGGCTGTGTCCACTACCTCAGCACTTAACACTCCATATCAAAGACAATTTCTAACACATACCAGGCATTCTTAGGCATTTGGTAACTGAATGAAGAATTATGCATACATTTTACTTAGGCTGCAATTATTTTATGATACAAAATTTTAGTAAAATATATCCAGATTTTAGTGACATATATAGCATTTTCTTAATTTTTCTTATTTTTATAGTTGAAAACTTACCATGGGAAAAGTTCCATTTGCTATCATAGCGTTTTCTCTTCCCCCGTCGGTCACACCAATTGCTTGCCAGTCATGATAGACGATGCTGGGACCTTGCGTACCCTCATGTGTTAGCCCCCTTTGGCCTATGTGGTTAATGATAATTTTTTCATTAATTCTCCCTTATTCCTAAAATATAGCTATTCTTGCTTGGCAATCATTTTAGAAAACAAAGGGGAGGGGGAAGGAAAAAAACAAAAAAAGAAAACAATCCTTTGTCCTAACCATTAAGTTCCTCAGACACCGCAGGTCCACAGCAGAACGGTGTATGTGACAGAGTCATGTAATTCAAAGAAAGGGAACAAAGGCATCAAGAGAAGAGGCTCCAGGATGACTCCTCTGGCAGGTTTTAGTGAAAGAGCAGCTGGGTCCTCCTGGCAATAAAACACAGTGGAACCTATTGATAAAATATGGTGACAAGTGCTTTCAATATGTTCAAAAATATGGTCATTCAACAAGCATATGTTTCAAAGCGCTTAAAGATGCTTAACAGGAAGATGTACTGCTCTGAAAGATTACATTTATGAGTCAACAGTCATAGCTCTATTAATGAATATTATCTTTCATTTAGGATTTAAGAAATGTAACCTGAGGAACATTATTTCCGTATCTGTAAATTTTGCTAAAACTTTTTTTTTTTAAATGACTTCTTCAGGCCTTTTTTAAGTAAAAGGTAAAAATTTCAGGAGCTTGATACCATTTGACTTGAATGTGAAGGTCTGGACATTGTAGAAGTTTTATTGTGAAAAATGACCAAAACAAAGGTACCTGCCAGAGCTAAAGACTGCGACACAAATATACTATGAAGGAGCATGACTCAGCACGTAAGTCACAGGTTAGACGCTGAGATTTAACACTTAATTCTGAATTTTTTTTTCTGGGCGCTAGCTTTATTTCTTATCGGCAAACTATATAACATCACATTAATTATCCAGGTGGAAAGTAAAAATGGAGCAAATAAGTCAAAACAGAAAATAATTTCCCATTATATTGAATTTTTACATTAAAAATAGCTTAAACTTTACATTAGACATGTTGAATGTATTTACTATTTTCGAGTATCATGACAGCTCTCAAACACATGATGAAATTGCATACAAAGCATGTCAAAAAGTGGCTTTTTCCTTCTACTATCCTGTTCAACCCCATCCTGCAACAGCACCACCTGACCCAGTGCCACCGACAAGGAGGCAGCTGCCTTTTCCTGTGTTGGTTCAAAAGCCCCCAAGTTGAAAAAAATTATAGTTTTCAACTGAGAAAAGATTTCAAACTTTCTGCCTTTCATGTTCTAGTCAGAATGAAATGGCGATAAAAGAATTAAAGTCAGGGTCTCAAAGAGACAGCTAACTCCCACGTTCACTGCAGCCACAACGTGGGAACAGCTTAAATGAATGGATTTAAAAAATGTGGTAAATGCATACAATGTAATATTAATCAGTCTTAAAAAAAAAGAAAAGAAAGAAAGAAATACCGCCATTTGTAACAACATGAATGGACCTGGAAGGCCTGCTGAATGAAACAGTCCACACATAGAAAGACAATACTGTGTGATCTCACTATATGTGGAGTATGAAACTGTTACACTCATAGAAGCAGAGAGGAGAATGGTGCCAGGGACTTGGGTTGGGGGGGATGGGGAGGCGATGGTCAAAGGACACAGAGTTTCAGTTACAGAAAGTAAATTGTGAAGGTCTACTTACTGTACAGCATGGTGCACACAGCTACGCTGCTGTTCTGTATACTTAAATTTTCTAAGAGGGTAGGTCTTATGTCATATTCTTACCACACACACACACACACAAATAATAATAATGAAGGAAGTGGGAGGAAGCTTTGGGAGGCGATGGGTGTGTCTACGACCTTGATGGTGGCGACAGTTTTATGGGTGTACACTTACTCCCAGGCTCATCAAGTTGTGTGTATTAAATATGTACAGCTCTTTACATGTCAATCATAACCTGAAGTTAATTAAGTGCTTTTGTTATGAATGAACTGGTGATGATACCAGCAAAATACTTTTAGCAGAGAATATGCTAATGCCATTAAAATGTTAATAACAATTTCTACAGATGAACGTGTACATCTCTGTCTCCTCAGTTTTCAGTTTCCCCGTTTAAAAAATGAAAACGACAACAAGGTTAAAGAAACCCTACTCATGAGCTAATTGCTGACAGTGACCATGGGTATTGTCATTCAGATGTCAGCAGAATGCCCCGAAACATCAACTATTTCACTCCACTGCCACAACATTCATTTTTCCATAAAAACTGAAATGCAGCAGCATGACATTTATCATTAAGCTTCCTGGATGCAACAGCGGTATTCACAGCTCCTGCAAATGTCACTATTGGCTGCCGAGAACGGGAGCTGTGGAACCCATTTGGTGGATCCAGGAATTATCCAGTGGGCATTTAACTATTTTAACATTGCAAACTGACTTAATATACACTACTGCCGCTCCAGTGTGTATCATATGGAGACGTACAGAGTCAGCCAGAGAGAGATTGCTAACTCCAGCTCCTGTTCTCTAGTGGACTGTAGATGGAAAGTGGTACACTACCCTGAAGGAACAAAGGTTGTAGAGAGTGGGGTTGGTTTCTTTGTTAAATCTAATCCTTTCTTGTTCATTCACTTGAATAAACATATCTGTATGATACCAACTGCTGAGCCTAAAGCAGAAGCAGCCGGAATAAACGAGCTGGAGCCACTGCGGCGAAGGAGCTCTCAGGGAAGTGCAGAGGCAGACGTTTGGGTAAGTAAGCACAGTTTAACGAGCTAAACGCTGTAACTGAATCACTGTTTCGAGCGTATTGGAAAGAGGGAGCATGGAGCTAGACGTTAGGAAACGAAGTAAAGCTTCACTGAAGATGGGGCTTTGTCACTCGCAGAGTCAGAATATTCAGGACCAACATGATAACGTCAGTAAAGGAAAGAAAATTCTACACAAGGGGAGCAGTGTGTGAGAAGAGCCTGGTGCTGAGTTTTGACGCCGTTTTACTTCCCTTAGTGTTTGCTCAAAAGAGAACAAACAGAAGCAGCAACAGAGCCAAGAGATGGGAACCGCAAGAGCTAAATTAAGTTTAGAAAGGGAGAAACTTAAGGAAAGACTAAAGGGCACATCTGAGGTTGCATTGGGCTACTTCATTCAGCAACCTGGCCTCATGCAGAAATAGCGGGTGGACAGGTGGGGAGATGACTTATGACAGAGACAGAATAATTAAGGCACGAAACCCAACAGAATGAGCTGATCCACAGACTTTCCCCTGATTTGTTGATGCTTCAAGCTGAGCGGTTCTGCAAAACACTTGGTAAATAACAAAGACTCCAGAAATACAAAAGGATATTCATAGAATACAAATCTCAAATATCAAATTGTAGAAAAGACTATAAGGAACATCCGTGAATCTCTCAAACATGCATACTCTAAAATTACATAACTCCAGTGTAATTATTTCTGATGGAAACTGAATTCTCTTGGTCCCACTTTGACATTTTGAACATTTTTAGATTTTCACCAAGACCCTAGTGATTTAGTGACAAAAGCCCTAATTCTACAGAACACACAGCCTCAATTCTCAGCTGTATCCCGGAGCTGCCTTGCGTCACCTGTCTAACCTCCAGGGTCTGAGAGCAACCACGTGTAAGCTGGGGGCAAACCTCACTGCAGCCTCCTACTGCGGTTCAAGATGGGCTGCCGGGGTTCAATAAATATTGATTGATGGTAATAGAGACAGCATCACTCTTCCTAGAGATGTTGTCACTCTGCCTGCAGGAAATCACTGAGCGTCTGTGCTATTCAGGACAGTTTCCATGGCAGCAGAAATTAAACCCCAGCAAAGTGGAAGCTGCACAAAATTCATGGGCCAACATCACTCAGAACCTTGCATCACCCATGGCTTTTTGTACTGTCTGGGTGCAGAGGACAGACTGAGAATTGTCAATACACCAGCACTGTTAGCAGTAAAGCTCTGGTGGCCGTGCCCTGGCTCTCGGGGGA